CCTGCTGACCACAGATGCTAGCTTTAAACAGGCGGAGGATCGCGTCCAGAGGGCCCGTGAGACGTGGCTTTCCGGGGCCTTCTACACAAACCTGGGAACAGGCTTTTTCACATATTAGTTACACCATGAAAACAGCGAACTGAAACAAAACAATTGCTGCATTTTGATAGCTTATCGAATCATTCTTTGACATTCTAAATCCTACGATTCAAAACCGGCATGTTGTCTTTCTTCAAATTCAGGAAACTTTTTAAATACCTAACCTTTGGAGACATCTAGGTTTACAGGATTATAAAAATTAAAAAGTGCTGATTAGTTTTCAAAATTATAAAGGAGCACAACAGTCAAAAAGGGAAAGACAGACCACGTATTTTGAGGTTAATTCACCAGTAAATTCCTAAGGTGACAAAGAAATCTGCATTGATTCACATCGGGTGCATTAAATCAGACCACTGAACACCATTCTGCGTAATTTTCCAAGTCCTGACTAATAGCTGTTTATCACCAGCATTTCTTGAAGCAGTGGTTAAAAAAAAAAGAAACATGGAACAGGATTCCGGTTACCTAGAGCTTATACTTTCCTTTGTCCCAGGTTCAAATGGTGACATTTGTGCAAAGTTGCTTGCTCCCATCTCTCACTTGTAGTGCTGTCGCCTTTAAAAACGCTTGAAGAGTTTCTTTTTTTGTGTGCATTTCCAAGAAGTCAGTACATATCCCTGTAAATTTCCTGCAGCAGCGGGTGCAGGGCGGCGTCGGACTCTGTCTTCTTGATCACCTGCACCAGTTGCGCATGCTCCGTGACCAGCTGCCGCAAATCTGCCATCTTTTGCAGGAGTTTTGGGAAGAGAAAGACGTCGTCGGGATGGTTGCTCTGTAAGTGAAGTTTGAGCACGTGCACGATACCCTCCTGCATTTTTTCAATGTGTCCCACATTTAGAAGGCCGGGCCGATCTATCCTCAAAAGAAAGAAGAGATGTTTGAGTGCAATTACCAGCATGCTAATACCTAATAACTGTTTTTCAGTTTGAGAAACCTTTTTTTTGTGTGGTACGCGGGCCTCTCACTATTGTGGCCTCTCCTGTTGTGGAGCACAGGCTCCGGACGCGCAGGCTCAGCGGCCATGGCTCACGGGCCCAGCAGCTCCGCGGCATGTGGGATCTTCCCGGACCGGGGCACGAACCCGCGTCCCCTGCATCGGCAGGCGGACTCTCAACCACTGCGCCACCGGGGAAGCCCTTTCTTTTTTTCTTTTTTTGGCGATGCCACTCAGCATGCGGGATCTTAGTTCCCCGACCAGGGATCAAACCTACGTCCCCTGTAGTGGAAGCGCAGAGTCCTAATCACCAGCCTGCCAGGGAATTCCCGAGAAACCAAACATTCTGATTGGACACGGCCTTTTTTTTTTTTTTTTTTACCAAAAGCTCAGCTGCCTTTAGATGCTGTCAACTTACCTAGAAAATGGAACTAGACTTTTCCCAAGTCGCTGGGCCTGATAGGGGCAGACGGGACAAATAGTCATTCCTAAATATTTCTAGGACCTTAAAATGACTAGCTACCTTACGGGGTGGCCGCTTCATTTAGGATTTGTCTGATTACCACCTGCCAGGGGAAAACCTGTATGTAGACGAGTAACTATACACACAAACTGCTTTTGCATAATATGGAAAATGAAATTCTTCCTCCTGTGTCTTCTTAGGTGCTCGGTTTCGACAATATTTAAGGAGTGTGATTATGTTTGACTTCGGTTTTGTGGTATAAAGCGCCGTTACAGGTACCTTCCAATATAAACCAGCTGAAAAGAAGGTGGAGCCAGAAATGAATCAGAGGATGGATACGGGAGGATGCTGAGGTGACCCAGAGAGGGGAGGTCTGAGGCTTGGTGCAGGAAGGGTGATGTGGACACCAGGTGACCTCCCGGGGTGCCTCACACACAGACACCAGAATTCCTGGGACAGCTCAGATCCATGCATCCTGCCCTTGTTCCAGAAAATCAGCCCCCACCATCCATATTCAATAGGCAGTGCTCTCTTTAGAGTCCCATGCATTACTAGGATTTTCAAAAGTGTTGCTCATGATGTGGATTTTTCTTTTTTTTTTTTTCTGGTTATAAAATAATTACTAAGTTTTTAAAGAGAGAGATTTTAAAAAATAGTAAGTGAACCCTCCCTCATAATTTTAACCCCATCATACAGATTTCATGTATACCTCACCAGACGTTTTTCTGATCTATGATTAAAATTTCTTTTATAAAACTGTCATACTACTTATAAATAGCTGTACATTGCTCTCCCCACAACACGACATCTTGAGCGCGCAAAGGACGGTGATAGATGACATTCTGTGCTTTTTGCCAGAGCACAGGACTTCCTCCACCTGTGCCCAGCTGGATGGTCAGAAGGACAGACCTCGTGGAGCTGGGCCACCCTCCCCCAGCTCCACGTCCAGAGTCCGGGCAACTGTGGCCAGCCTCAATTCTGCGAGTGAGGGACTCACGGGGGACAGTACAGCTTCAGGCAGCTTGAGGAGGCAGTGGCCCCTTCGGTCTCCCCTAAGGCTGGGTAGGGTCAGCCGAGTTTACAGTAGAGGGTTGACCTTCTTAGACCCAGGACAGGGCTATTTAAAGGAACGTGACACCGAGCCAAAAACCTGGGGACTGCAGGGCCAGCTCCCCAGTACAGAGGCCTAGATTCTCCTTCACTGGGATCCATTTCCTTTGGCAAAGCACACTTTGCAGTCACTGACAGTGAGCTACAGATATTTCTCATTATGAAACAGCATAAATATACCAATAGAGACAGCAACTGTACTAACATCTGTATGACTTTATAGAATACTGTCTGTAATACGGATATAATATCATAATAACATAATTATAACACTGTCGTCCCTTGGTATCTGCGGGGGATTGGTTGCAGGACCCCCCGAGATGCCAAAATCCACGGATGCTCAAGTCCCATATATAAAATGGCATATAACCTATGCACATTCTCCCATACACTTTAAATGATCTCTAGATTACTTGTAATACCTAACACAATGTAAACGCCATGTAAATGGTTGCTGGTGTGTGTGGTAAATTCAAGTTTCGTTTTTGGAATTTTCTGGAAATGTTTTTTTCTGAATGTTTTCAATCCGCAGTTGGTTGAATCTGCAAATGCAGAACCCACAGGTATGGAGGGCCGACTGTATATGATGATATTATACACCATACATTATAATTACAATTATATCTGATATATAATAGGCATTAGATATAATATATAATTACATTATAATTATTAATGATACCTAATCTTCCATTATATTCTAAATAAATATATATTCGTGTAATTACAGATAGAACATTTATACTTTACAAATGTGTTTATATATAATGTGAAGTTTGGGATTAACATATACACACTGCTATATATAAAACAGATAATCAACGTGGACCTGCTGTATAGCACAAGGAACTCTACTCAGTATTCTGTAAAAACCTAAATGGGAAAAGAATCTGAAAAAGAATAGATATATGTATATGTATAGCTGAATCACTTTACTATACACCTGAAACTAACACAATGTTGTAAACCGACTATACTCCAATATAAAATAAAAATTTTTAAAAATAAAAGCTCTGAAACAGAAAAAAATAACATATGCTATAGTATGATATGATATTGATATCATTCTCACTGAATTCTGGTTAGTGGCAATGTGGGGCTTGGACACCCTCCTCCCCTACTGTGTTGGCTCCAGCCTACTCACGTCGGATTTACCACAGCCAAATTCTCTAGGTGGGAGGCTGTGAGTGCCACAGGACCAGCAGGTGAAATCAATAACTTACCTCCACAGCAAATTATAGCAGCCACAAAAAGGGAAATATCACTGTCGTCCAGCTCCAGTGCATTAAACTTCATTGCAAAATCGAACTTGGGCTCCATGATATCACAAAATGGTTTTCTTAGGCTTTTTAGGAATTCACGAGTTATAAAACCATTTCCATATGCTACCAGCATCCCGTCTTTATTCATCACAGAAGACAGCATTGCAAATATGGCCTCGTAAACTCCATATTTCAGCAAAGTGACTTGGTCGTTCAAGTCCAAGTTTGCGAACCCCGGGATGGACTTGGCGAATTCCGTGAGCTCCGTGACCGTCTCCACAGACGTGCACTGGCAGCAGTGGAAGATGCGGACCTCTGCCTCCTTGTTCTGGATGCCGTTGGCCACCAACTTGGCCACGAGAGTCTTCTCGGCCATACATAAGGTCTCCATGTCGTGTATGACAAAAGGCTGAAAAGAAAAACACTGGAATAAGTCGGGTGATTGGCGACTAGCTGTCTGCTTAATTATCAAGAAACTGATGAGTAGCTGCAGTATTCCAGCCACCTGTCGAGAATCAAATTATGTACAAAACACAGTGCTCATCCTTAAACAACCTCAAAATTAGTTGGGGACAAGAAGACATTTAATAGAGGACAATACAAATCAGTAAGATAATAATCGTCGGCGCCTAAAACTGGATGGGGATTTCATTGCTAAGAAAGTGAAGTTCTGGGAATTCCCTGGCGGTCCAGTGGTTAGGACTCCATGCTTCCACTGTAGGGGGCACAGGTTCGATCCCTGGTCGGGGAACTAAGATCCCGTATGCCGTGTAGCATGGCCAAAAAAAAAAAAAGGGAAGTACTGATTTTGGCAATAAAGCTAACAAGAAAGAGAGTATTAGCAAAGCACTTTAAATATTTTATAATGTCCTCTAAATTCCCAAATACTACTGCAATAGCCAGTAATTACAATAATTCTTAATTTTGCCATTTTATGAACTTCGCAGATAATCATCATTATCCAATGCTGACTGTTGAATGAATAAGTTTGGCATGTAAATAAATACAAGTCAGAAAGTTGGCATTTGTTGGAAGTAAACAAACAAGCATTGTTAAACCCTTGCTCTTGGGGGATAAACCGGAAAGCCTTGAAGGACCCTCGTTTCCCGGTACAGGAGACGGAAATCTTCCCACCACTGCTCCATGTTCTGAGACAAATACCAAATCCCCATGGCAGCTCCCTAAATGTGGCCTTACCATTTGCATCTAAACCCCACCGTTCCTGCCATTTTATAAAGATCTAGCAGAGGAAAGAAGAGATGGTTGGCCATGTTATTTGAAGCCAACATGCTCAGAAGCAATGATGTATCTGGTGGGGCTTAGAAGAATGGGCACAGATACCGCTGCTGGCCAAAATTTACGCCAGCTCTGTGTGTGGAGCAGAATAAATGGCAGTCTCTGAGGGATCTCTCTGATTGGTTCTACAGACCAATAATGAAGTGGGCTAAGGCATTATTTTCAATCCCCACTGGATAAACACTGAGTGTATAAGAAGCCCAGTGATATGTGGGCAAAACACATCACTGACAGTGCCTCTGTGCCCACGGCACGACGTGTGCCCTATTTCTGGGCTCACGAGAGCATCAGGAGGAATCACAGCACAAAGCCATCTTCCGGGTACCTGCTGGGTATACCTGGCACAGAGGTGGGTGTGTTGGGATAATGTGATGCATTGCCTACGAAATGTGTAAACAGAATTAGAATTTGCAAGATAGTGTTGGACAAAAAAAAAAAAAGATCTGATTTCAAATCTGAGGAGAGGGAATATTTTTAAAATTATCTGTGAATGACTGAAAACATTCTGAATACAGAACTCAGAGCCCAGTTTCTAACAATCTCAAGTTTGATGAAGGAAGACTAAAACTGTCTCTCTCCAAAGACTTTAAAAGCAGGCCAGGACTTCCCGGTGGCGCAGTGGTTAAGAATCCACCTGCCAATGCAGGGGACACGGGTTCAAGCCCTGGTCTAGGAAGATCCCACATGCTGCAGAACAACTAAGCCCATGCGCCACAACTGCTGAGCCTGCGCTCTAGAGCCCGTGAGCCACAACTACTGAGCCCACGTGCCACAACTACTGAAGCCCACGCACCTAGAGCCCATGCTCTGCAACAAGAGAAGCCATCGCAATGAGAAGCCCGTGCACCGCAACGAAGAGTAGCCCCCGCTCGCCGCAACGAGAGAAAGCCCGCGCACAGCAACAAAGACCCAACGCAGCCAAAAATTAATTAATTAATTAATTAATTAAAAGCAGGCCAGATTTACCACTGTTTTGAGAAAGTTTGGGGGCAGTTCTGCTTCACAGGAAGTTGGAGCTCGGATTTAAAGTATTAACGTTTATAGGATGGACCAGAAACATGTTTTTAAAGGACAGATGGCAGTACTCCCTCAATATCAGAAAATATTATAAGGCCACCTTGACTTTATTCAAATCACTGGCTTTTCAAAAGTACATTCAGCAGAAATAAAGGTGTTACATAAAAAAATAAAAAAAAAAGAATCCTGTTGTCAAAAAAAAAAAAAACCTTGAGAAACACTGAGTTAAATAAAGTTAGAGCCTACCAGAGCCTTTCACATGAGTGTACACCGTGGATCTTTAAGAATGGGATTAGCATAAACAGTGGTTCCCAGTGTTTGACTGCAGAACGCTTATTATTATTATTATACTGTTGTTATTTGGTAGGACATCTCTTGGACTAGCACAGACTGGCTACACAATTTGCAGGGCCCAGTGCAAAATGATAATGTGGGGTCCCTTATTCGAAAGTGCCTACGAATTTCAAGACAGCGACAGAGCATTAAACGTCAGCACAAGGTCCTCTAAGCAGGGGCGTTGTGAAACTGGACACAAGCCCAGGACGCTGGCCCTGGACTATTTTTATGTGGAACATTCTCTCATAAACGGAGACTTCAATGGTAAAAAATATTTCATTTCATTTGTATAAAATTATCGCCTGGATTTTAAAAGGCAGGCCTCGTGAACAGGCAAAATAAGAAATGATCTGAATTTCAAACAAGTGCTAACATTTAAAAATTCGTGTTTATTACAGCCAAAGAGATATTATAGAGTAACACCCTTGAAAGTTTGCCAGACTTTATTGAGAAACATTCTTGATTAGACTATTTAAAAAATCCAGAAGCTTATGTTTAACTTTGGAATATTCTTTTTATCCTCAAGCTTGAATATGAATATATCTGACGTTACGGGTAGTCATTTCAAATCAGTGAAGCACACTGTAAAGCTTTTAAACAGCACAAGGCAGAAAGCTGCCCACTTTCCCCCAAAATCACTCCACGCCAGGACCAGAAGTCTCCCCTAACTGATATATATTTCCCTCCCTCACACCTGACACTGTTCTATGTGTGTTAATGATGTTATTTATAAGAATTCATCTCCAAAACACAATGAAACAGCATTTTCTATGAAAAGTTCGGCAGCAGCATCTTTTCGGAGCAATTTAATTGTGACTTATTGGTAGAATTGCTTTGGATGAAATGATCTAATAAGCTCTTGGGTAGGTTTTACTACACACTTCTAGATATAGTACAAAATAGTATGTTTTTCAAGCTACCGACAAGTTATAGGTATAATATTTCAATATAACACAGCAGGCCAAACCCCACGGTGTGGTGTGAGGGAGCTGCCATTCCAGGATGCCGCCCCTCCCGGCAGCTCTGTCTCTGACCCAGCACAGATGGAGCAGAGACTGTGGCCCCAAGCTGGATGCTCCAAGCTCTGGGGCGCACTGGGCTGGGCGGAGAGGTAGGAGGAGGGCCATGCTTTGACATACAGAGGAAATGGGGTGGGAAGTGAACCCAGCTTGGAGCAGACAGTGCCGTCAAAGGCAGTGGCTGGCCCTGAACACTCCCTTTCAAACTGGTACCCGCGATGCTCTGCTTTGGAGGTGGGCAGAAGCAAGCAACTGACTCTCAGCAATGCCCCGAATTCTGTTTTTCCTATCCAGTGAAGCCCAGTGCTGGACTATGGGTCTATCATTTATTTCCTTAAGACCAAAAGACAGATTCCTCTCCCAGAGTAACTGTGTGATGGCCCTCAACTGTCCAGATTTCAACTCTGGCCGTGGGTGATGGGCTCCTTCTTAGAGTGCATGGATCTCAGTGGGGTGTGAGAAGGATACTCCATGGAAATCAAGTTAATATTAATTAAACAAGAGTGTTTGGTTCTGAGTCAAGATGACTTTTAAGTTTGCTTTGCTTTGCATTCTGAAAACCCAAGGGAGATGCAGAAGAACTCAGCAAGATCTAAAAGGATTCCAAGAGATCAAAAATTTGGGTTGCTTAAAAAAAAAAAAAAAAAAAAAAATTTGGGTTGCTTTAAAAAAAAAAAAAATGGGTTGCTTTAAAAAAAAAAAAATTGGGTTGCTTCAATTTGGGGCTATACGAATCATTTCCAGGATAGAAATTGAAAGGTAAAAGATTACTTTGCTTTCACCCTTGTGATCTGGAAAGGGTTAGGGTGGAGTTTCTTCGAGCCTCTGGGGCCGCCCAGCATGGGTGTGGCTTTATGGTTTAGCAAGAGTTTGCTTGAACCCTCCTAAAGTACCTCAGCCTATTTAATTGGAAAATTCACCGAAGAATGAAAAGACTTGGTAAAAAAGAGGTTTGGTTTGTTCACGAAAGTAAGTAGCTCGTGAGATGCTTTATTTTCCTGTGACTGAAAATTCCAGCTTGTAATTCCCAATAAAGATGGCTTCAAGCTACTCATTAGTACAAATCAAACCTGTTTCACCACTCTCATAGGAGAAAGGCAAAACGTCTTTATTCGCCAACCTTGGGCCATCCCCCTTTTTGAAGGTAGCTCTGAGATTAGGCCTGCAATGGAGACAAAGGCTTAGCTAACTGTGGGGTGGGTACAGGGTGGCATCAGGCAGGGGAGGCAAAGTGCAGGCATCCACAAGGGGCAATCTTAGTTGCTACCGAGAAGGTCCAGAACCGTCCAAAAAGACAATCAAGTTTCTGTAAACAAAGGACCCTTTCTAAGCCCCGAGATGTCATTTCCTTCTCATTGGAGAAAAAGAAGGTGGGCAGGGGGTAGGAAGGGGGAGGTCGGAGAGGAGAAGGTAGTTTCAGGGGAAAGGATGTGAGAGCGTACTTTGAGTGGGAAGTGAATAGTTTCATTTTCTGGCATTAAAATAGGGATTAAAAAAAAATCGCTTAAGAAGCAACCCTAGAATCTGGTAAACCATTAACCAGACTTTCTGAGTGCATTAATTACATAGTCATTATAAGAACTTGGTTGCTAGGAGCTTTGAGGTGGATCAAATGGGATGGGAGTTGCTGCTGGGCTACGTTTTATAGTCTCTGAAGGAAATGTTTCCGTTGCGTTGTCTCTCGTTTGCGCTGGGGATAAATAGGATTTTCTCAGCGTTTAGGACAATACTCCCTCAATCCTCCTCCTCGACTCTGGCTGACGTGTTGCCAAAGGAGCACTTCAGACTATGATAACCGGCCGCAGAGCCACCTACCGGATTGTTGCCGGCCTTTCCCGCGAGGATGACCCGGGCCTTGACCTTGTTCATGTTGAAATTCTTTAAGTAGGCCTCGTAAATCCTCTTGGCGAGAGATCTGAGATCTGCGGTTTCAGAATTTTCTAGGTCATGTTCACACGTAAGGATTTCTGCTTTCAATTTTGCTTTTTCCGATCTTGGCATTCGCCCGAAACGAATCGCTGGGGGTCGGAGGGGAGAAACGGAAGAACGGAAAACACAGAGAAATGAACAACAAAACACGGCACGAGGACTAACGGCTGGACGACAGGTTCACACCGCGGGTTAGACGGTGAGCAAACATGCATATGGGTAAGTTACAATCCACTTCTCAGCACCATTCAGCTTCCTCCCTTGGAGAGATGGAAATAAACCTCAAACTCCATATATCCTGAACTTTTAAAAAAGCTTAAAAGTAAAGGTGGCACCATGACTCACTTTATCAGTAGGATGGGCTTAAGGTCACTTCATGTCATTAGGTACATAATTGAGCCTTTCGGTTAAGGAGATGAAAGTGAGCCTTAGAAGGAGTTAACACAGTACCTTTTTCTTTTTCTAGAAGGTAGACATGCAACTCTTATGAACACATTATTTTAAATTCACTTTCCTGTAGTAATTGGCAAATTCTAAACTAAGAGTATGGGGACTTCCCTCGTGGTCCAGTGGTTAGGACTCCGAGCTTCCACTGCAGGGGACCCAGGTTCAATCCCTGGTCGGGGAACTAAGATCCCAAAAGCCGAGCAGCACGGCCAAAAAAATAATAATAATAAGAGTAGGGCTGAATATAATTAAATTCATAATATGGTAAAATGTTTGAAATGGCACATGCTTCATACATATGATACGAACATTAAGACATCCCAGTGGTTTCCAATGGGTTTCAAAATCTTATATCAAAGTTGTACCATTTGAAGTTTCTAACAGTATTTCCAAGGGTTCTACTGGACCTCTGTTATTTGAGGCTTATTTTCCTTAGGCTATCATGTTACAAAATGACCCGAGCATTAAATGCTGCAGCACATTCATTCAAAATACGGTCTGTTCCGACCCGATAAGGCGGGTAAACTGAGGCATGGGTGGGGAAAATGCGATAGACAACCTTACCTACCATTATGGGACATCCCAACCGAAAGGCACTTGTGAAAACGACAATACTGACACTTATTCCGATTCTTTTTCTGAATCTTGCAGCTACGGTCACATGTGTCATATGCCAGCTTTAGCCGAATAGTTCTCCGAAAGAAACCCTGCGGATTGATATACAGTTTATTAAAGAATACGCACCACTGAGGAATCAGTGTCATTCCTTTATTCACGTTTCCTGTTGCTCATTTATTGTCTTTTTTTTTTTTTTTTTGGTGGCACTCGGGCCTCTCACTGTTGTGGCCTCTCCCTTTGCGGAGCACAGGCTCCGGACGCGCAGGCTCAGCGGCCATGGCTCACAGGCCCAGCCGCTCCGCGGCATGTGGGATCTTCCCGGACCGGGGCACGAACCCGCGTCCCCTGCATTGGCAGGCGGACTCTCAACCACTGCGCCACCAGGGAAGCCCCTATTGTCTTTTTTTAAATGAACGAAATGTAGAGAAACAGTTCATCTAGAAAGTCTGATGTAACTGGGGCAAATTGGAAATTTGAAATTTCATTACATGTAAAATGAAAAACAATAAAATGAGGCAAAAGTCAAAGTAATTTCAACACGTCCTCACCTGGCCTGGGAAGACACAATCACAGTCTCCTGAAGAGTGACTCTGCCTTGCTAAGATTTATACAAATGTGACTTTCTCTTCTGAGGACAGATCCATATTTGTGACTAAAAAGTTCTAAGAATTTTTGTAAGAGAATATTAACTCTCTAAAGGACAAAGATTACATAATAAAAGGAAGCCAGCTGGTTGTAAATAATTTTCTTGCTTTATAAAAGTGTCTTAGGGACTTCTCTGGTGGTCCAGTGGTTAGGACTTAGCACTTCCACTGCAGGGGGCATGGGGTTCATCCCTGGTGGGGGAACTAAGATCACGTGTGCCGCGTGCTAAGGCGCGACCAAAACAAAACAAAAACAAAAAACAAATAAAAATATCTTAAACTTTACTTTAGTAAAGAACCAACTTTACTATTTAGTTCATAAAAAAACAAAAGTAAACAAGGGTGACTAATCATGGCCCTGCAGAAAAGGCCACTTTGCAAGTAGTTTTTTTCAAGGTATGTGGTTGGCAAATTGTGAAGGGTTTATATTTACACTGGGCTCTTTCCTCTTTGCTTTCCGGTCATCCTTCCATAGTTCTGCTAGAGGACACGGCCTGACCCCCTGCACTGCGGGCCCTCGGTCACCTATGGTTAGAGGTGCAGCTGAGCTGGCACAAGAATAAGGATATACACAAGGGTGCTCGTGGTTCGGGTGGACAGGCCCCCGACGTGCAGGAAGGGGCTGCTGGGGTATCCTGAGCAGCTGGGGAGGACACGGCCGCGGGTCTGGTCGTCGCCCAGCACGTGCTGCAGGATCCTGACATCTCTGATGGTCGTGAGAACCACTGCCCTCCATGACCTTCCGATGAGGGTGGAGAGAGAAAGTGGACAAAACTCTCTGACCTCGCATCCAAATGAAGGGAGCATCTTTAATGTGGTTTATTTTCTGTTAAAGAACACACTCTCTACGTCACTTACAAAGAACAGCCCAGCAATATGCCATAGACTTTCCAAAGAGAGAAAGGAATGTGTTCCGTGGGTCAGTTTCTGATCTACAACTTGAGCAGACCTTTCTTAGTAGTGACAAACATTTGTGTATAAAATAGAAGGAACCACACGTAGTCCCCGAAAGGCCACCTTTCTCCCCATCCAGGGTCCACCGTACCTTGCAGCCTTCACATGCGTGAACTCCGTAATGGTAGCCCGAGGCTTTGTCCCCACAGATTCTGCACTCGATGTTCAGTGCTACACTGGACGATTCCTCGGCGCTGCCAGGAACCACAGGGTAAGAGATGGACGAGGGACTCGAGGCTGGTGAGAGGGTGTCTAGGAACACAAGGGGAAGATTTACGAATATTCATGGCCTTGCCATCCGATGTCGAAACCAGCTCTCTGAGGATCTGAGTTCACGGGTGAGGCATTTAGTGGGGAGGCATCAGCTGGTGGGCAGGGCTCCCATGCTGCATCCACCCTGGCCTGGCCCTTGCACACCCTCTGTGCTCCCACATTGACCACGTCGCCGGCATCCCCGCAGCTCCCACCCAAGGGGCTCCCCAACTGAGAAACAACTTTACTTTTTAATCCATAAAAAACAAAACAAAATGGACTAAACCATGGCCCTGCAGAAAAGGCCACTTTGCAAGTAGCCTTATTCATACAAATGGTTACAGCAGCTTTATTCCTTTTTTTTTGGCGGGGGGGGTGGGGTGGGTATACTATTTTATTAACATTTAAATGTCACCAAGAATGAGCTCAAGTATATGCTAGCCACATGCTCAGATTTTTTTAAAAATAAATTTATTTATTTATTTTTGGCCGCATTGTGTCTTGTTGCTGCACGCGGGCTTTCTCTAGTTGCGGCGAGCGGGGGCTACTCTTCGTTGTGGTGCGCGGGCTTCTCATTGCGGTGGCTTCTCTTGTTGCGGAGCACAGGCTCTAGGCACATGGGCTTTGGTAGTTGTAGTACGTGGGCTCAGTAGTTGTGGCTTACGGGCTTAGTTGCTCCTGCGACATGCTCAGATTTTTGACACAAAGATAAAATGGACAGACAGCTTTAAGGGTGCAATGTATTTAACACTGCACAATACAGTCAACAATTAGACAATCTAGGGGGTGGTATAACTATACACTACAAGTATAGTGACAAGCCCTGGAACTGGAGGAAAAACCCACCATTCAGGACTTAGCAGGGGTCCTTGCAGCAGCTTTATTGTTCTTAGTTGCCAAAAATCGACATGTCCTACACAGAACTCATTGCTTTCTTTGCGCCCTCCCTTCCAGCCCTTTTGTAATTGTTAACTCAGTAAATGGCATCAGAATATAGAATAAAAATCCATGTGGGCAACGCAAAAGCACAATCCATGAAAGAAAAAAAAAGAAGCTGGACTTTCTTTTCTTTCTTTTTTTTTTTTTGCGGTACGCTGGCCTCTCACTGTTGTGGCCTCTCCCATTGCGGAGCACAGGCTCCGGACACGCAGGCTCAGCGGCCATGGCTCACGGGCCCAGCCGCTCCGCGGCATGTGGGATCTTCCCGGACCGGGGCACGAACCCGTGTCCCCTGCATCGGCAGGCGGACTCTCAGCCACTGCGCCACCAGGGAAGCCCTGTGTCATATTTCAGATTCCACATATAAGTGATATCATATGATACTTGTCTTTCTCTGACTTACATCACTTAGTATGATAATCTCTATGTCCATCTATGTTGCTGCAAATGGCATTATTTCATTCTTTTTAATGACCGAGTAATATTCCAATGTATGTATGTGTATATATATATATATATATATATATATATATATACACACACACACCATGTCTTCTTTATCCATTCCTTCGTCAATGGAAATTTAGGTTGGTTTCATGTCTTGGCTATTGTAAATAGTGCTTTAGCAGCTTTATTCTTTTTTTTGGCTGTGGCATGTGGCCTGTGAGATCTTAGTTCCCCGACCAGGGATTGAACCCAGGTCCTCGGCAGTGAAAGCACAGAGTCCTAACCACTGGACTGCTGGGGGAATTCCCCAGCAGCATTATTCTTAATTGCCAAAAATCAGAAGCAACCAAGATGCTTCAATAGGTGAGGCCAATCCCCAAAGGCTACAAACTATATTATTCTTAATATCCGACATTTGTGGAAAGGCAGAAATACAGCAGTGGTAAAAAAAAAAAATCAGCGGTTGGAGTAGGGGTCGGGGAGGCAGGGTTGAGTAGGTGAAGCCCAGTGGCTTTTTGGACGTGGTGAAACTATTCACATGAAAATGTAATGGTGAATACAGGACACAATGCACTTGTCAAAATCCACAGAATTTTACAGTACAGAGTGAACTTTAAACGTGTGCAAATGAACAACAAAAAAAAAAACTGAGGAGGTCAAGAGATTCCAGGATGGCACACAGAATGTGATGATACAATCTATATCACAAATGTAAGAAACATTTGTAGGAAACCTCGCTGAAGATATTCGTGTAAGCGACCTTGGAAACGAATGGAGTCTGTGAGGCCAAAGGCAAAAGAACTGCACCTGGACACTGTCCCCAGCCGATAAAGTTGTTTTCCACAGGGCTTTGGGTGAGCAGTTCTGAGGCCACCGCACTGGAAATGAACAACTAATTGTTCATTTAATGATGGTGACTGAATGGATGGCTGGATGGTGGGCCAGGTCTCTCACTGTTGGAGCGTGAGCTCATTGATAAAGCAACAGGAGGAGGCTAAAGTGGTCCATGTGGTGGTGGATTAGAGGTGCAGACATCTGTTTGAATTCACGTTTACCCTGACATTGAGACAGACAGCTATATACAGAAATACAGACGTGTACATACATGCGTTAGTATGTACACATGTATGTCTCTGCTCTATCAGCTGAGAGAGCCTAAAAGAAAAGATACTCCAGGGAATTCCCCTGCGGTCCAGTGGTTAGGACTCCGCACTTTCACCGCCGAGGGCACGGGTTCAATCCCTGGTCGGGGAACTAAGATCCCACATGCCGCTTGGTGAGACCAAAAAGAAAAAAAAAAAAAAAAAAGATATTCCAATAGCAACCTGAAATGCTTAGAGAGAACAGTACTGAGGGCTAAGAGGTAGTCCCGTGACCACCACTCACAGCGGAAAAATCTCAGAATCCTTGGGGCACTGGGTAAAATACTCAAAAGGGTTTGGCCTCTGAATCGGGGCAAAATTACTTCTAGGATCAACACTGCTCTGGTTCCGTCTAACAAAGCTTAACCACAGGACCTGAAAGGATCACCATTTTCCACGAAATTTAACTGCCTTTCAGAATAAAACTCAAGAATATTTGTGTAAATACAAAATTCTCCATCATCAACAAAGTTCACAATGTATGGTATCTAATAACAAACTGTAAAACATGCAAAGAAGCAGAAAAGCATGACCCATTCCACTCCTATCTACCCAAGAGAAGTGAAAGCACTGTCCATACAGAGGTGTGTACATGAACTTTCCCAGCAGCTTTATCTGTAACAGCCAAACCTGGAAACCATCGAATTGTTCATCAATAGCGTGGATAAACTGTGGCAAATCCATACAGTGGATTTTAGAAAATGAACTGTTGATAGATGCCACCAATGCAGATGAATCTCAAAATAATTTTGCTGAGTGAAGGAGTCAGACTAAAAAGAGTACATACTGTATGATTCCATTTATATAAAATTCTAGGAAATACAAACCGATGGATAACGATAGAAAGCAGATCAGTGGTACGTGGGGAGGGAGAGAGGCATGAGGGTGGGGAAGAGGGAGTACAAAGGGCACAAGTAAACTTTGGGGTGAGGGGTGTGGAATTTGATTGTGCTGTTGGTTTCACAAGTCTGTGTGCGTGTGCGTGTGTGTGTGTGTGTGTGTGTGTGTGTGTGTGTACATCCAATTGCACACTTTAAATATGTGAAGTTTTTTATGTCAGCAAAGCTGCTAAGAAAAATTGTGGGGGTGGGGTGAGAAAGAAAGATGGGCTGAGTAAGCAGCCTCACCCATCTGGTCTCCCAAGGAGTCAAGTTTAACCTGATTGCGTTTTATAGACGGTCCTCCTGTATTTGCCATTTACATAACTTAGAGATATCACCCAAGGGAGCCATTACATACAAAGGTGAAAAAGCTAGTTTACAAATAAGAAATCATTTTATCTCTCAAATCAATTGGAAACAATAACAGTGAAAAGCCTGGAAAGGAGACAAAGCAAGATTTTAAGAATTTTGAGATGACTCCAAACGGCCAAAAGGATTAATAAACACAGTAAGGAGAACGGAAGCGAAATAAAAATGGATGATCACACACCCACCACCTTAACGGCCAGGGGCCAAAAGTCAAGGATGTGTGTCTAGTACACTTCAGTGCAGTCACTTTTTTTTTTTTTTTTTTTTTTTTGCGTTACGTGGGTCTCTCACTGCTGTGGCCTCTCCCGTTGCGGAGCACAGGCTCCGGATGCGCAGGCCCAGCGGTCATGGCTCATGGACCCAGCCGCTCCGTGGCATGTGGGATCCTTCTGGACTGGGGCACGAACCCGTGTCCCCTGCATCGGCAGGTGGACTCTCAACCACTGTGCCACCAGGGAAGCCCAGTGCAGTCACTTTTTGTAAGTTCCCTTTTTTTATTTCTTTTTGCCATAGTGCAGACCCCATCACAAACACCGGCACAGTGCAGACCCATGTACATGTCCCCTTTTAAACAGCGCCCGTCCCCAGTGGGCTTGCTGGATTTAGAGCTCGTGCACTTTCAGCCACTCTCTCCATGCACACGGGTTTATCAGTGAACTTGGCTGCCAGCGGAGTACAAATGCTCCCTTTCCCACCGTCACCAAGGTCAGTGCACAGTCGTGAAAAATCATCTTCCTGGAGGGGGAAGACGTGAACAGACGGTTGGGGAAACATGCTCCAAACCGAGATCATGACACAGGGGGACCCACGGAGGGGAAAGACACAGAGACCTTATACCAGACGCTGCAGGCAGAACCTTCTCGATTCCCCAAGAGAGCCTGCACAGTCCAAGCTCGGAGCTCAAAACCACACACACACACCTCCTGGCCAGTCCAAACCCAACTCCTCCAGTCCCAGCCAAGACCCACTTCTTTCAAGGCCTGTGTTTCCTTATTAATTTTCTGTCTGGAAGATCTGTCCATTGGTGTAAGTGGGATGTTAAAGTCCCCCACTATTACTGTGTTACTGTCGATTTCCCCTTTTATGGCTGTTCGCATTTACCTCATATATTGAGGTGCTCCTATGTTGGGCGCATATATATTTACAATTGTTATATCTTCTTCTTGGATTGTTCCCTTGATCATTATGTAGCGTCCTTCCAAGTGTCCTGTAAAAGTCTTTATTTTAAAGTCTATTTTGGGGCTTCTCTGGTGGCACAGTGGTTGGGAGTCTGCCTGCCATTGCAGGGGACACGGGTTCGAGCCCCGGTCCGGGAAGATGCCACATGCTGCAGAGCAACTAAGCCCGTGCACCACAACTAGTAAGCCTGTGCTCTAGAGCCCACAAGCCACACTATTGAGGCCGCGTGCCACAGCTACTGAAGCCCGTGCACCTAGAGCCCATGCTCCGCAACAAGAGAAGCCACCGAAATGAGAAGCCCGCGCACCGCAAGGAAGAGTAGCCCCTGCTCGCCGCAACTAGAGAAAGCCTGCGCGCAGCAACGAAGACCCAACACAGCCAAAAATAAATAAATAAAAATAATTCTTTTTGAAAATTTAAAAATAAAGTCTAGTTGTCTGATCCAAAACCCACTTCTGCCAAGAAGTGTGGTGGAGTCAAGTCCACCCCAGACAGGGCTTCCTTTAAATCAAGGTACAATTTACACCACATTATACCGGGGTGGCTTAAACGTTGCTCGGAAAGATGAACTGTGCAATGATTTCCTCTCTCCCAGCGAGGTGACCTGAGCAGACCCCATGTTTTATTTCTTTGTATCTGCCTTGGCTGATGCCTGATGTAGTTTTTTCCCCTACTGTCACCATCTTGAAAGTTATGTTTTCGGTTTTAATATTTTTTTATTAAAGTATAGTTGATTTACGATGTTGTGTTAATTTCTGCTATACGGCAAAGCGATTCAGTTATACACACACATACATTCCTTTTTTAAATATTCTTTTCCATTATGGTCTTTGATAGGATATTGAATATAGTTCTCTGTGCTATACAGTAGGACCTTGTTGTGCATCCATTCTATATATAAAAGCTTACAAGGGAGTAGGGAGATGGTTCATATACATTTCCAGATAAAAGAGAGTGATTTTTATTATAGTAGGAGTCTCTGCTTTAAAGCAATATAAACTCACAGCATTTAAAAAATGCAGCTGACTGCTGAATTTCAAGCATTATGTGATTTATGTACAGCTTTTAAAAAGAAGGCATACTTGTTGGTTATTTATTTTATTTTATTATTTTTTAATATTTTTGCGGTACGCGGGCCTCTCACTGTTGTGGCCTCTTCCGTTGCGGAGCACAGGATCCGGACGCACAGGCTCAGTGGCCATGGCTCCCGGGCCCAGCCGCTCCGCAGCATGTGGGATCTTCCCGGACCGGGGCACAAACCCATGTCCCCTGCATCGGCAGGCGGACTCTCAACCACTGCGCCACCAGGGAAGCCGGTTATTTATTTTAAATATGGCAGTGTGTACACATCAATCCCAAACTCCCTAACTATCCCTCCCCGCCGCCAGGTAACCGTATTTAACATAAATAACCAACAGGGACAAAAAATTACAATTAAAAAAAAAAATCAGTCACCCAGGATGCACTCAAAGATTTGCCCACAGGGAGGTGTGTCACAGAGCTGTTCATCATGGTGAAAAATTACATACAGGCTGCTCAGGTAAGTTACATGCAAGAGATTACTCTGTAGTGTAAAAATTATATTTTCATGTGAAAAATCAAATGAGCTACACATTTATGGTGTGTGCACTCTTATGTGTATATTATACTTCCATAAAAAGTTTATCCAAACAAAAAACAAAAAAAGAAGGCATACTATGATATGCGAGACACGCCTGAAAAGTTTCAAGGCCCGGTGGCACTGCATGTCGTGCTTTTACACATCTAAAGATTTTAATGCAGAGAGATGTGACTTCTTTTTCAGGTAAAGAGAACAACTTTCTCTGTGGAAAATTCCAGATAAAGCTTTCTAGGAAATAGCACACTTACCTGTAATAACGGAGCCATCTGATCCTGGACCACTTCCTAAATACTGGTATTCTGTAAAACTAAAGCTTCCAGAACTGTCCTCACCAATGGACTGAGAAATATCTTGAATGGTTCCCATTTCTTGTAGGAATTCTTCAGAGAGTGGACTTTCCAGATCATCAGCCTCGAGTGGGGAGAGGGGACCAATCGGGCTCTCTGTGTCCACCATCTCGACTGGATGGAGCTGGTCCCACTGCCGGGCTCCACGTTCCTGGGAGGAGAGAGAAGTCATGCGTGAAGTGGACACAGAAGAACACTGGTTTTCCTTTAACAAAAACATCATTTATCAGCAGAGACACACCTGAACTCACAATCTAAAAAGTAACATTGTTGGCCACCTTACCTCCGCTTGACTCTTGACAAGCTCATTAAGAAAATGAAAATCTTTATTATTCTCTTTTATTTTGGCCGAGCAGCTTGCGGATCTCAGTTCCCCGAGCAGGGATTAAACCCAGACCCCTGCAGTGAAAGCACCGAACCCTAACCACTAGACCACCAGGGAACTCCCAAGAAAATGAAAATCTGTAAACAAGAGCACGTCTCAGGAGCCACAGCCGAGCAGGCCAGGAATCATTCGTGCACCATCAAGCACACACTGTGTATCCGAGGTGGACGAAAACAGCAGAGGACACACATAAAGTCCCCGCTGTCCCGGAATGCACCTTCTGGTGGTGACAGGTCTGGACAGTCTGATGGGGATACAGTGATGCAGGGGGAGGATGGGGAAGGACACTGCCCTACATGACTGGCCAGGGAGGACCTCTCAGAAAAGGGGCGCAGACACCTGCAGGAATGAGGCAGTGAGCTGTACGGACATTTTGGGTAGAATGTTCCAGCTAAAGGAGCGGCAAGTGGAAAGCCCCCAGGATGGAAGCATGCAGACACTTCCAGGCATGCGCAGGCCAGTCTGGCTCAGGTGGGAGCCCGGGGGGGAGTGGGACGGGCAGGCAGTCGGCACACACGCTGGAGGCAATATCATACGTTCTCCTTGCACCCATGGGGGGGAGTCATGTAGGTATTCCTGAAGAACGAGTACGCCATAACAAATACATCGTAGAGTTAAAAAAAATCTGAACATGCCAGTCCCCAACAGCGCTAGGCTGCTGCAACTCACGCACAGAAGGACGCTCTCCACGTGGGCACTGTTACGGGCTGCACCGTGTCCCCCACAGATTCCGCTGCAGGAGTCCTAACCCTTAGGACCTCAGAATGTGGTTGCCTTTGCAGATAATAAAGAGGTGATTCCACTAAAATGAGGTGTTTAGAGGGGGCCCTAATCCAATCTGGCTGGTGTCCTTGTAAGAAGAGGAGATTTGGACACACAAAGAGAGACAGCGGGGTGCACACACAGAGGGGCGACCACATGAAGACCCAGCGCGAACGCTGCCACCTGCAAGCCAAGCAGAGAGGCCTCGGGAGAAACCAAAGCCGCCGACACTTTGATCTTGGACTTCAAGCCTCCAGGACTGTGAGAAATAAATGCCTGCTGTTTAGGGGCCCCAGCCAGTGGCCCATTGTTAGGGCAGCCGAGCACATGCACACAGGTACAAAGTCAAAACAGCGGTCCTTCCCGTGACGGCCAGCCTCAGGCTCTTGCTCAAGCCTCTGAAACCACTCCCTGTGACCCTCAGCCTTCTGTCCGTTCTCCTAGCTCGACATGGGCCCTGGTGACGTTGTCTCCCCCGATCTCGCCCTGGTCACCATCCCCCACCCCCAGGGTGACCAGTGGCACTGGGCCATCGCCTCATCCAGACCTCCCTGTGCTGTCCGCCTCTGTGCCAGGCCCCAGCCCCCCTGCCTGAACCCCCCCTCCCATCCCTGCCTTCCCCAGGCCCTGCTCCAGGTCCACCCTCGAGCCCCGTCGGGTCCCTTCTCGCCAACGAGGCCGACAAGGTGACATTTAGCTTCTGAAATGGTCACAGGGAAGCCCAAGGCTCATCGCGGACAGGACCAGAGGAGGTGCGTGCCACCAGCCACCGCCAGGGCTCAGCGCGAGGCGGCTGCCCTCTCACCGCGATCACAGAAGGCTGGGCTCTTTGGACCGAGTGAGAACACACTGCCAAAGCAAACGCGTGGAACGGGCTTGCGTAAAAACATTGCACATTTCAGCCCAGCTGCAAGTGAACAGTAGCTTTAAGGGCAAAGATGAAGGGATGGTTCGGCTTGCTTTAGAAATGAAAGTTGGGTCCAGTTCACACATTTTTGGGAAATTCGCCTCTCATGCCTGGAATTCTGGTAATAAATGGACAATAACACACAACGAAAAAGAAAAGAGAATCATTAAACTTCCATTAGATTTAGAAGGCTTTCTCATCTATTAGTGTAAATCAGGCTGTGAATCTGTGCATTTCTTCTATCATATTTTATTCTGCATCACAATTGAATTTCTTCAAATGGCAAGTAAGATAAAGGTGTAAGCGTTACTTAAGATATTTTCCACCATGAACAAAAGGTTCCAAAGTGCGGTCATTAACTTAACTACCTTCACCATAAAGTTCAGCCTAACAAATACCTGATAGCCGGGCAGAGGCTGTGTTATCAATGGGGCCATGACCACCACCTCCTCTGCCCTGTCATAGTCTCAGTGCTGCAAGGAAAACACAGCAGACTCTTAGTCCTGCAAATATTCTATCTTCCAACCAGGAATGTCCAGAACGGGAGGAACTGATCTTTGACTAAATGTTAGTCTCCCTGTCATTACATCCAGGGAGTTAGAATGTTTTGAGATCTTATCATTTTACTTATCAGCTGCTTTTAAAGGATACCTGAGATTTATGTAGAGAAACACCCGTGTTCCTGTTAAGAAGAGCTAAACGAGATCCCTGGGGAGTGAGGCAACACCGTGACCTCCGGCCAGAGGACTGGCCTTTGCACAGATCACTGGACATCCTGGCCCTGCCTGCTGCCAGCCAGAGCAGATAAGGGAGAGTGCCCTTTGGACGTGTCCCCGGGTAGAGCTGAGGCTGCATGGCACGCAGTCCGCTCCGCCGGCCTGTGGCTTCCTGGCAGGCTCCGCACCTGCTCTCCCCACGCCGCGGTCACCTCTGCTCGGGGGGCAGGAAGGTCACGGCAAGTACCTGCCTTTCAAATCCACAGAACACGGCCACCGCCTGGTCCATCGAGACGGGCAAGCAGTTACTGTGCCCTGTGCCCGATGTCCTAGGTCCTCCAGGGCTTTGGAGGGAGAAAGAGGCACAGCAAACGACCTGTTAGCAGCTCCCAGTGTGGCCGAGGTGGTAAGAAACCAGGACAGGATGCAAGCGGAACTCAAACAGGCCTTGGATCCCTTGCAGGGAGAAATGAGGGAGAGAGCAGGGGGTGCTGAGAAGAGGTAATAAAGCCAAGTTCCAGCAAAGACGTGGTGAATGCATAATCCCATCACCCCTTCCTGGATAATCAGTCCTGAGACGTGTTGGTTTCTAAAGGCATTTTGTTTTCTTTCCCATCCAATTTAAATGTTAGAGCTACACCCTGTAGAACAGAAACTCAGATGTAAACTGCTGAAATTCTACTTTTAGGAGAAGACTCCTCAGTCAAAATGTTGCTTTGAGAATTAAGAAGCAGGGTATAGGAAAACTATAGAACGCTGGGGAGAAAAAGATACAGGCAAGAAAGAAAGGAAGAAGGGAGGGAGGGAGGGAGGGAGGGAGAGAAGGAGGGAGGGGGCACAGAATCCTGCCATTGCTTTATGTCACCCAAACACAGGGCAGGTGAAAACACCAGAAGAATTGTAACACTAATTGTTAATCTTGACATCAAGGGATTTTCCTTATCACCAACTCTCAGATGTCTCGACTGTTGGGAAGATCGTCTAAAATGAGTTGCTGGTGGCGTCATGAGCTCTGAGTCTAAGACAAGGAGAGCCCAGCACACTGTGCTCAGGGTCCCCCCAGCACCTGGGCCCAATTCTGATGTAGCCCTAATTATAGGGACAGTGTTGGGAATGTTTTCATAGCTCCCACTAGACGGTACGTCGCTTGTGGGTAGGGATGGACTTTGCTAATTTCTGCGTCCGTACTTCCAGCACAATCCCTACGATGCAGCAGGCGTTCCGTTTCCACACCCAATGCTGAGCGAGGTTGGCACAGAACTCGAACTTAGTCCACACTCAGCAGGTGAAAGTCTGTGAGGCCCCACCCCGGCTTTGCAGCTGCCTCCACAGCCTGTGTCACCCAGACGGCAAAACGGCACGTGCAGTCAGTATTCGAAAGACAACAAAACGTAAGGATGTCTGCAACAGAAGTCAGAGTGGCACTACCTTGGGAAAGTGATCAGAAATTTACAGAGTGAGTCATAACCATTGTCAGGACTTAAAAACTAAGCGTGAGAGAGGAAACAAACAAACAAACAAATCTAAGCATCATAGTGAACAACAAGGTCCAAGTCGGCAGGAAAGGGCAAGCTTCAAACAGAGATGTAGGGGGCAGAGGTGTTGCTTATCGACCCCTTTATCCTGAGAACGGGTACTGTGCCCACAGCCTGGGCAACCGACTGGCACACACTACAGACTGCTCAGGAAAGGCACGAACAGATCACCAGCCTGACTCTACCTTAGAAGCAACAGACAGAGAACCTGGGAAATGTTTGGTGATAAAATAAGTTCAATGCTTTGAAGAAAGAGTAAAGAAGTGTCATCATCTCACTGGAATAAAAGATTAAGCGGAAATCACTTGGTTGTTGGCTCCCAACCGTGTTAACGTATGTCACCCATTTTTGCCCCGTACATTATTAACGACCTTCTTGGACCTAGAATGCCTTTTGTAAACGTTCTCTGAAATTAAGTGTTAAATAAAAGTTAGCTATTGAAACATGTTTACATGCTATGAAAATAGATACTCAAAGAAAAACAACAAGTGGAACTGGGCTGGAATTCTCACACTCAGAACTTATATCTGACTCAAAAGAGTCCGAGTAAACAGTTACAAACATCAGTCTTTTACTTTGCTGCTTTTACCTTTCTGTACTCGACTGGAACTTACTGTGTTGTAAAGCCCTCCCAAATGATCACTTATTATGCCTCATTAATGCCAGCTTAGAGGAATCTATTGACATTTGCCTTTGCTAAATCAAATCCAATTAGACTTCCCTGAATGGTTTAAAGGTAAAAGATGGAATTTTTGTCAAAGGAGTACCATTTATGTAGCAGACAAGCAGCTCTCAGGCAACCAATTTTTCTGTTTTTCACCATTTCTATTTCA